TTTCATACATGGTCTTTGTGGTGAGGTAAATTCCTTAAATACCTAATTTCTAAAAATTTTTTCCAATGTTTATTTATTTTTGAGAGACAGAGACAGAGTATGGGCAGGGGAGGGGCAGAGAGAGAGGGAGACACAGAATCTTCTCCAGGCCCTGAGCTGTCAGCACAGAGCCTGACCCGGGGCTTGAACCCATGAACCGTGAGATCATGACCTGTGCTGAAGTCGGACACTTAACCAGCTGAGCCACCCAGGCGCCCCATTAAATATCTAATTTGTTCATAGGTGTTTTATCATGAAAAGGTATATTGTATTTTATCAGATGCTTTTTCTGCATCAGTTGAGATACTCATGAGATTTTTATCTTCATTCTGTGAACGTGGTGTAGCTCATTGATTGATTTGGGTATGTTGAACTATCCTTGTATCCCAGGGATAAATCTGTCTTGTCAGGGTGTATGATTCTTATAATGTGTTGTTGAATTTGGTTTGCCAATACCAGATGAGGATTTTTGAATCTATACTCATCAGGGATATTGGCCTGAAGTTTTCTTGTAATGTCTTTGTCCAGCTTTGGTATCAGTGATGCCAGCCTCATAAAATGAGTTTGGGAGCGTTCCTTTTTCTTCTATTTTTTGGGAAAGTTTAAAAAGGATTGGTATTAATTGTATAACCTAGATGAAGTTGGAGGACATTATGCTAAGTGAAATAAGCAGACACAGAAGAACAAATACTAGGTGTTTTCACTTCTATCAGAAATCCCAAACACTCAAACTCAGAAGCAGAGAGTAGAATGGTGGTTTCCAGGGGCTGGAAAAAAGGGGAATCCAGGAGGGTGTTGGTCTGAGGGAAGAGTTTCAGGTATGCAAGACAGAAAAGTCCCAGAGATCTATAATACAGCATGTAATGTATAGCACATACAGTTAATGATAGTGTATGATATCTGTATGATATTCTTTTTTTTAAGGGGATAGCCCTATTTTTTGAATGTTTTTGAAAAATGTTTAATGTTTATTTTTGGGAGAGAGAGAGAGAGAGAGAGACAGAGAGACAGAGCATAAGCTGGGGAGGGGCAGAGAGCAAGGGAGGCACAGAAACCAAAGCAGGCTGCAGGCTGTTAGCAGAGTCTGACATGGGGCTCAAATCCATGGACCGCGAAATCATGACCTGAACCAAAGTCATGTGCTTAACTGACTGAACCACCCAGGCACCCCTATTTATTTATTTTTGAGAGAGTGGAGGAGGGGCAGAGAGAGAGGGAATGAGAGAACCCCAAGGCAGGCTCCACGCTGTCAGCACAGAGCCCAATGTAGAGCTTGATCTCTGGAACCATGAGATCGTGACCCCGGCCGAAATCTAGAGTTGGAGGCTTAGCTGACTGAGCCACCCAGTTGCCCCTGTATTATATCATTAAAAATTTGTTAAGAGGGTAGATCTTATGTTAAATGTTCTTATCACTAAATGAAGGAAGGAGAGAGGAAGCTTCTGGAGGTGATGGTTACGTTTATGGCTCTAGTTTTTTACGGGGACAGTTTCACAGATGTAAACTTACCTTCAAACTCGTTGAAATATATATATTAAATAATTACAGCCTGTTTTGTGTCAAAAAAGAAAAGTCCATGTCATTGAGAAAGTAGATCAATGGTTGCCCGAGGCCAGGAGGAGAGAAACAGGAAGTTAATGTGTAACAGGTGCACGGTTTCAGTTCTGCAAGATGAAAAAGTTCTGGAGACAGAAGGTTGTGTTAGCTGCACAGTAAAGTAAATGGACTTGCTGCCGTTGAACTGCACAGTTTAAAATGATTAAGGTGGCAAAACTTGTGTGTGTTATACAATTTTTTTACATCAGTGTGAAAGAGGAGATGATGGAAAGAGATGAGAGGAGTTTTCTGGATAAAAAGAGAGTAAAGAGACAACAATACCTGCCACAGGTGAATTTCTCTCTCTCTCTCTCTCTCTCTCTCTCTCTCTCTCTTTTTGTGTTTATTTATTTATTTTTTGAGACAGAGAAAGTGCAAACGGTGGAGAGCCAGAGAGGAGAGACAGAATCCCAAGCAGGTTCCACGCTGTCAGCGCAGCCCGATGTGGGGCTCGAACCCATAAGCTATGAGATCATGACCTGAGCTGAGATCAAGAGTCAGATGCTTAACTGACTGAGCCACCCAGGTGCCCTTACCACAGGTGAATTAAAAAAAAAAAATTATGTTTATTTATTTTTAAGACAGAGAGAGAGCATGAGCAGAGGAGAGTAGAGAGAGAGAGAGGGAGACACAGAATCCGAAGCAGTCTCCAGGCTCTGAGCTGTCAGCACAGAGCCCGACGCGGGGCCTGAACTCACAAGCTGTGAGATCATGACCTGAGCCGAAGTCGGACACCCAACCGACTGAACCACCCGGGTGCCCCCCACAGGTGACTTTTAATGGCATCCTGGTTTGAGGAAACGAAGCAGTCTTAAAGGCATTTTGAAGACACCCGGGGAGATTTGGAAGTGGATGGATACTGGAGACAGTAGAGAATTGTCGTTAATTCCCTTAGGTGGAATAATGCCCAGAGATAATGTAGGAGAATGTCTCTATTCCTACAACGTGAATGCTGAAGTATTTAGGGATCAAGTGTCCATGATGCCTGCAACTTCCTTTCAAATGGTTCTGGGGAAAAAAAAAAAAAAAAACAAGTTCAGTAAAAACAAAAATAAATAAATGACAGCAAAAATGACAAAACATTAGCAATTCAACCACTGCTACTCATTGTATCCTTTTTTGGAACTTCAGGGGTATCTGAAACTTTTCATAGGAGGATGATAGGATAAGATGATTATAATTCCTCTTCATCCTTTTTCTTACGTGGTTCATGATACCAATAAAACCAACAACAAGGTGGTGGGAGGAGGGACGAATAGCTGAAGCACAGGGGATTTTTTCAGGCAACAAAACTATTCTGTGCGTATGATACCGAAAGGGTGTATGCGTGCTGTTTTGCATTTGTTAAAACCCATAGGGCTGCACACTACAAGGAGTGAACCCTAATGTAAGTTTTGAACTTTTGTTAACAATAACACACTCACGTTACGTTATCAGTTATGACAAAGGTCCCACACCAATGCAAATTGCTAATAAGAGAGGAAATGTAAGGGAAGAGAGAATATATGGGAACTCTCTGTACTTTCTGCTCATTTTTTTTCTGTAAACCTGCTGTTTGTGTAAAGCTGATCTACAAAATAAAGTCTAGGGGGGGCGCCTGCGTGGCTTAATCGGTTGAGTGTCCAACTTCAGCTCAGGTCATGATCTCACAGGGTTCATGAGTTCGAGCCCTGCGTCAGGCTCTGTGCTGACAGTTCAGAGCCTGGAGCCTGCCTTGGATTCTGTGTCTCCCTCTCTCTCTGCCCCTCCTCTTCTCGCCCCTCTGCTTCTGTCTCAAAAATAATAAACATTAAAAAAAATTTTTTTTTTAAATAAAATCTAGGGGCACCTGATTGGCTCAGTTGGAAGAGCATGAGACTCTTGATCTTGGTGTTGTGGGTACAAGCCCCATGATGGGTACAGAGATTACTTAAATAAATAAACTTTTAAAAATTTTTTTAAAACTTAGAAGTAAATGGGGCGCCTAGGTGGCTCAGTCTGTTAAGCATCCGAATTTGGCTCGGGTCACGATCTCGCGGTTTGTGGGTTTGAGCCCTGCGTCGGGCTCTGTGCTGACAGCTCAGAGCCTGGAGCCTACTTCAGATTCTGTGTCTCCTCCTCTCTCTGCCCCTCCCCAGCTTGTACTCTGTCTCTCTATGTCTCTCAAAAAATAAATAAATGCAAAAAAATTTAAAAAAAATTAAAAGTAAAGTCTTAATTGAAACAAGAAGAAAAATAAAGTTTTTTTAAATTTTTTTCCAATGTATATTTATTTTTGGGACAGAGAGAGACAGAGCATGAATGGGGGAGGGGCAGAGAGAGAGGGAGACACAGAATCGGAAACAGGCTCCAGGCTCTGAGCCATCAGCCCAGAGCCTGACGCGGGGCTCGAACTCACGGACCGCGAGATCGTGACCTGGCTGAAGTCGGACGCTCAACCGACTGCGCCACCCAGGCGCCCCTATATTTTTTTAATTTTTAAAAAAGGTTTGTTTTTCACACACACACACACACACACACACACACACACACACACACACACACAGAAACTGAAGCAGGCTCCAGGCTCTGAGCTGTTGGCACAGAGCCTGATGTGAGGCTCGAACTCAGAAACCGTGAGATCACCACCTGAGCAGAAGTTGGATGCTCAACCAACTGAGCCACCCAGGTGCCCCAAAAATAAAATCTTAAAAAAAAGTCAGGGGCACTTGGCTGGCTCAGTTCGTAGAGCATGAGATTCTTGATCTCAGGGTTGTAGTTCAAGCCCCATGTTGGATGGTGGGGATCGCTTAAAAAGAAAATCTTTAAAACTGGGAACATAATAATGGGGGGGAACCCCAGACAGCAAAAGGAATGTAAGAATGTATACAAAGTTCTCCTTTTTTCTATTTTCTCAGAATGACACCATCGTTGCTTTTATCCACGTATCAAATATCAAATTCTTGTGGGGGGGGGAGGGTATTCCCCTCTTTGGCTACTGGCCCTAAACTCTGTTGAGTAATCCAGCCCTGATACAGCTCTTTTTTTTTTTTTTTGCAAAAAGTCATTTGCTCAACAAATATTGACATTTTGGTATCTGTCAATGCCAGGCATCACGTTTGGTTCTGAGACCACAAAGGTCAAAAGCAAAAATTCCAGCCTTCAAGGAATTTACACACTTGAGGGGAAGGAAGGAGCCTGACCGGCATGTCTCGTCCTAGTGTAATGAGCCCAGAGTGACCGGGTGTCCGGAGGGGATCGTGGCAACAGCACCGCGGCGGCTTCACGACTGAGGCAGTGAGTCAGTGAAGCTTGAAAAAGAGGAGCCACCTGCCAAGGCAAGGGGAGGGGGAGAGAATGCCCAGCAGAGGCAAAAGCGGGGGCGGCAGGGAGGGCAGAGCGTATACTTTGAGAACAGAAGCTGCCCTGGAGTTGAAGCTGGAAAGGTGGACCGGGACCAGGTCTGGGGGCTCCAGAAAGCCTCTTTCTAGAGTTTAGGCGCTAACGTGACGGTGTTGGGAGGCTGCTGGGCAGGGAAGCCTCCCGGTTGGAAATGGGTTGTTTGGGAAAATGTCCCCTGGCTGTTTCCGAGGAGGCCAAGCTGAAGGCAGCTAGACCAGTTCTGAGCTATTGCTGCAAGGAACGAGCCAGGAACGGAGCCAGAGGAAGGGGCGGCTTCGCTGGGCGTTCTGGAGTAGAACCAGCAGGACTTACAGAGGGATTATAGGCTGGGGAGAACGAAAGGGAGGAGGTAGGTTGACTCCTACGTGCCACGCAGGGCCCTGGGGTGATCCTGGGTGTGGAAAGCAGGTGAAGGGCTTCCAGAGGAGGGAGGCGGTAACCAGTAGGTCTGGGAACGTTGAGGCCCAGGGCGTGCGGATGTCCGGGTAGAGGTGGTGGGCTGGCCGCTGCAGGGGCAGGGCCGGAGTTCTAGAGAGAGCCTGTGGCTGTGCTGTGGGCCTGAGTGTCCAGCAGGGCACTGTGAAAGGGACACACTGGCCCTTCCTCAGCCCTGTGCGTTCACACCATGGTCTGTGTGTCAGGCCCTGCCCGGGGCATGGAGGTTGTGCAAATGGACAAAGACTGTCCAAAGGAGAACAAACAGATGGCTCCTTACTCAGAGCTGTCTATATAGGCTATAGCAAGCGAGTCAGCCCCCATTATTTGTGTTTTGGCACAGACTCAAAGGCAGACAGAGGAGAGGGAAAGCTTTATTGTTAAAAAAAAAAAAAAAAAAGGTGGGGGCAGGGAGCGCTTTGCTGGCTCAGTGCATAGAGCATGTGACTCTTGATCTCAGGGTTGTCAGTCCAAGCCCCATATTGGGTGTCAAGCTTACTTAAAAAATAATAATTAAAAAAATTTTTCATAAGTAAATGAAGGAAGGAAGGATCCAGCTGTGTCCCCAGTGGAGGCTGTTGGCATGGGGAAGTCAGAAGTGGGCTAACTAGAAGAAGGGCATGCCATGTGATTGGTTAGGGGTACCCATTTGGCTTTCTCTAGCTGGTCCTAAGCTAGAAGCAGAGATAGGAATTAGGGAAGCTGTCAGTTACTAATCAAGCCCTGGCCTTTGGGGGACGGTTGTTCCAGGGGCTGTTGTTTGGCTCCCAGGCTGGTTACTGTAGACAATGGGTTGGTTTCCTGGACTGCAGATTGAGGGTCAGAATTCTGTTTTTATATAAGGTCTGGCCAGTGTCTGTCTATTCAGTCTCTCAAGGTGCCGCAGTCCTTGAGCTACAGTCCTGGCCCTCATGGCCCTCATGAGTGCCTGGCCCTCATGGCACTTGCGTTCCCGGAGGTGAGACCTGCATGAAGCAAAAACAAGCAAATCTGTTATCAAGACCCTTCCACCCAGGGTTCAGTCCTTTTACTGTCCTTATCAACTGGTTCGTTTTTTTTGAAGACACTCAGCAAGGTCTCAAAGGGTCTTGATACTAGAACTCTGACAGGTTTTCAAACCTGAAACACGTTTCAAAACATGTATGTAAATGTTCATCCCAGAGCTATGTACAACAGTCCCAAGGGGAAACAGCCCAGATGTCTATCAATAGATGAAGGGATAAACAAAGTGTGGGATATCAATACAATGAAATATTATTCAGGGGCACCTGGTGGCTCAGGCGGTTGGGTGTGTTAGACTTTTGGTTTTGGCCCAGGTCATGATCTCATGGTTCGTGGGGTCGAGCCCTGTGTCGGGTTCTGTGCTGACAGCACGGAGCCTGCTTGGGATTCTCTCTCCCCCTCTCTGCCCCTCCCCCGCACACACACACACACACACACACACACACACACACACTCTCTCTCTCTCTCTCTCTCTCTCTCTCTCTCTCTCTCTCTCTCTCAAGATAAATAACGTTAAAAAAAAAAGAACTATTATTCAGTCACAAAAAGGAACGAAATGCTGGTCCATGCTACAATATAACCATGGATGAACCTTGAAAACATTCTCCTGAGTGAAAGAAGGCAGACACAAAAAACTACACAATGTATGATTCCACTTAAATGAAATGTCCAGAATTGGCAAATTGATAGGTATAGAAAGTAGATTAGCTGTTGCCAGGGGCTGGGCTGAGGGGAAGCATGGGAAGTGACTGCTTAATGGGTACCAGGTTTCTTTAGGGTGATGAAAAAAGCTCTGGGACTAGGTAGTAGTTAGGGCTGCACAGCACTGTGAATGTCCTTCATGCCACACAGTAGTACACTTTAAGGGTTTTTTTTTTTTTAATGTTTATTTATTCTTTGAGAGAGAGAGAGAGAGAGAGAGAGAGAGAGAGAGAGAGGGAGAGGGGGAGAGAGAGGGAGACACAGAATCGGAAGCAGGCTCCAGGCTCCAAGCTGTCAGCACAGAGCCTGATGCAGGGCTCGAACTCACAGATCATAATATCATGACCTGAGCCGAAGTTGGTCACTCAAGGAACTGAGACACCCAGGTGCCCCTGTTTTTTTTTGTTTTTTTTTGTTTTTTTAAGTTTACTTATTTTTGAGAGAGAGCGTGAGCAGGGAAGCAGCAGAGAGAGAGGGAGACAGACAGGTTCTGTGCTGTCACTGCAGAGCCCTATGCGGGGCTCAAACCCACAAACCGTGAGATCATGACCTGAGCCAAACTTGAATGCTCAACCGAGCCAACCAGGTGCCCCTAAAATGGCCAAAATGGTAAATGTAATATTACGTATATTTTATATACATGGTCAGTTCTGGAGATTTAATTAGATTAAAAATACTTATAGGCAAGGATTTTATTTGGTCAACTTTGCTCAAACAGAAGAAAATTCATTAAAAATGTTTTTAAATGTTTATTTATTTTTGAGACAGAGAGAGAGAGTGTGTGTGCGGAGGTGGGGGAGGGACAGAGAGAGAGGGAGACACAGAATCTGAAGCAGGCTCCAGGCCTGAGCTGTCAGCATAGAGCCCCACGCAGCTTGAACCCACAAACCATGAGACCATGACCTGAGCCAAAGTCAGATGTTTAACTGACTGACTGAGCCCCCCAGGTGCCCAAAATGCATTGTTTTTAAAGTGAAAATATCAGGGGCGCCTGGGTGGCTCAGTTGGTTAAGCGTCCGACTTCAGCTCAGGTCACGATCTCGCGGTCTGTGAGTTCGAGCCCCGCGTCAGGCTCTGGGCTGATGGCTCAGAGACTGGGGCCTGCTTCTGATTCTGTCTCCCTCTCTCTCTGCCCCTCCCCCGTTCATGCTCTGTCTCTCTCTGTCTCAAAAATAAATAAATGTTAAAAAAAATTTAAAAAAAAATTAAGTGAAAATATCAGCTCCTGGATATGGAATGAATTTCAAAAATGTAAAATATACAATATAGAAAAGACAGCTTTCACTCAGTATGGACAGTTCATTTTCTCAAGAAATCCTATTGTTATTTATGCTAACATAAATATTATTTCTAAGGTTATCTAGGGTTATTATTTCTAAGGCTTTTACATGATAACAAAGCCAATAGTTAGTGATTATGAGTATAAAGGTGATTTTGTATTTGGTCAATATCACAGTGTTCACATTTAAAAGATATCTAATGCAGAACAATGGCTCAGTTTGAATGATTGCAAATGACTTTAATGACATAATAGTGTAACCGCTTTAAGATAATAGCAATGAACTATTTTTGTTGTTGTTGTTGTTTAGGCAAATGACTCTGGTTCTTTTTCTGTTACTCATTGAAAAACAGTATCAATCTCACAAGGTGATGCCCAGTCTCACTTTCCTATGGGCTACAATTTATTCTCCACTTTCTAGGCACTGGGCTGTGGGCTATGCGTAGTGATCTAATCTACATCCTCACAATCCCCTGCTGGGTAGGATTTCTTTTCTGCATTTTACAGAGAGGTAGTATCATTTGCCCAAATTCTCTCACATAGTTAACACTGGATCCTAGCTTTCTTTCATTCTAAATCCTATTCTCTTAATTAGCGGTCTTATTCTGTAAAGGGACAGATCGCACATATTTTAAAGCTTTTCAGACCATGCAATCTCTGCTGCAACTATGTACTTACTCTTCATGGTAACACAAAAGCAGCCACAGACACATAAACAAATGAGCACAGCCTTATTCTGTGCTACAATATGGGCGCCGAAATTGTATTGATTTCCTATGTGTCATGCAACATTATTCTTTTGCTTTTTTCCCCAGCAATTTAAAAATGTAAAAGCTTGCAGGCCATACAAAAATAGACAGCAAGCCAGATCTAGCCTTATGGCTCTAGTTGGCTGACCTCCGCGTCTGATCTCTGCGGGGTCCCCAAATGCAGTGTGTACAGCAGAGGGCTAGATAATAAGGTGAATGGAACAGGCCGGGCAGTACGTTCGCAGTTAGTAGGGACTGTGAGTAACAGAAGAGGCGCTGGCTTCCTAAAGGAAGCTCTCAGTCTGTTCTTAACTCTCATTGCCATGTGTGAACGCAGCCCAGTATTGCCAATCCTTGCATGTTTTCAGAGGAAGGAAGCTGGAAATTCATGTTTGTCTTTGCAGTCTCTCTGTTTCAATATTAGCGGTGAATTTAAATTTCTGAAAGAAGATAGTGTCCATCAAAGCACATCTTGGATCAGACATGGCCCACAGGGTCCCTTGTTTGTGACCTCTTCACTCTGGTTGTGTGGGTTCTCAACCCTGGCTATTCCTGGAATCACTTTGGACTAAAAAAAGCTTCAGAGAAATCCCTTTGGACTAAAAACAAAAACAGAAACAAGAACTTACCCCCAGAGATCGGATTTACATGGTCTACAGTGGAGCATCTGCATATTTTTAAAGCACACCCAACCCTCTACCTCCCCTCCCCCCCATTGATTCTGAAGTGTAGCCACTACTTTCTCCTTCAGCCAATCACACATGCAAATCCCTGGAGCCCTGTACATACACACCAAAGGAGGGCAGATTTCCAGCTGCTTTTGGTCCAAAAGCCAGTTCACTTATGGGGTTCCTGGGTGGCTCAGTCGGTCGAGTGTTCGACTTTGGCTTAGATCATGGTCTTGCGGTTCGTGGGTTCAAGCCCCTCATTGGGTTCGCTGCTATCAGCACAGAGCCCACTTTGGATCCTCAGTCTCCCGCTTTCTCTGCCCTTCCTCTGCTCTCTTTCTCTCTCTCAAAAATAAATAAAACATTAAAAAAAAAAAGTCAAATCATTTAACATATTCCTGTGCCTGCCCCAAAGCTATTGCTTATGAACACTGGCCATAAGGGACTGGAGTCTTTCCCTGCTCATTAATCCTTGTACTTGTTAGAGAAAAATACCTCTTCTCGTCAGGGCTGA